GTGTATTATTGTAACGAAGTTTTCTTTGTTTTTTATTCTGAAACGAAATGAATAATTTTTTAATTGAAATGAATTTTGTCTACACCTGAATAATACTTTGTCAGTATTTTTCTGGGGTTCAAGATAATTCACTGTTATTTCATGGCAACAAATACACTGCTTCCAAAGTCAATGAATAATTGTTTTCTGTAAGTGTAATTACATAATTGACCAAAAATAATTGTGATTGTTACTTTCCCTACAAGTGAGCAGGCCTAACTCCTCAGTACTTTCTTTCTCCACAGTACAAAGCGGATCTGGTGAAAGCTTTTTCCCAAAAAGTGCTGCCGTATTTCTCAGAGCCTGCCTTCTTAAAGCCAGTGATTGACAGCACCTATAGACTGGAGGACATAGCTGAGGCTCACAGACACATGGAGGCCAACAGAAACATGGGAAAGATTGTTATTGATGTTCTTCCACTGAACAAAAACTCAATGACTGACTAATAAAGGATATAATATTTTTCAAAGGTATGTTTGACCATTATTGTTGCTCAGAGATGCATCAGTTACTAATAAAACAGATTTAGTAAGATTGTCTACAGTGTAATGTTCTCCTGTCTCATTAATTTTTGTGTTTTGTGTTGTGTTTATGTTGTATAACGCAATAATTGTTCCATACTTAATCTATTGTGTTGATGTTTGGGGGAAAGCATGTAAATTAATTACAAATCCTATTTTTATTTTACAGAAAAGAGCTTTAAGAATTATCTCCAGAAAACATTACTGTCACCCATCGAATATATTATCAGTTGAAATTCTGTGATTTTGTTGATTATAATATTTTGCAGGTTATTTATAAGACTCACAAAAACATATTACCTTCTAACAACCAACTGAATTTTGTTCAGAGAGAACATTATTACCATCTAAAGAGGATAGGATAGATATATTTGTGAAATCTAAATTTAAAACAAGTTTGAAGGAACAGCATACTTCAATCCAAAGAATAAGATTATGGAATAATCTGGGAAGTGATGTTAAATATGCCAGATCAATGTTTATGTTGAAGAGAATGATAAAAGCTGGTTTGTTGAAGAAATATGAACAAGTATGATGTGTATCCATTTAAATTGTTGTTCAAGATGGATTTCATGTTGTTTTTGTTTTATGTTTGGCTTTGTTTTTAGTAAATTACCTTTGTTTTAATT